TAGTGGTAAAGCAACTGCCTAGCCTGACCGCCCTGGGCCCTGATTTCCATCCCCAGCACTCCAAAAAAAAAAAAAAAACCAGATTCACTAATAATAAACGTTGAGAGGTGACAGGATCAACAGCGATGTGGGGAAGGTGTGAAAGAGCCAGACCAGACTATTAGCACCTTGCAAGGCACTGGCAGACCAAAAGCTGCAGTTCTAAACTCTCCGAAGTTTAAACTGATCTTATTTTACACATGGCACTACCTTTTTTTTTTTTTTTTTTTGGTCTTTTTGAGACAGAGTCTCCCTGTAGCCCCAGCTGTTCTGGAACTCACTATGTAGACCAGGCTGGCCTCTGCCTCCCGAGTGCTGGGATTAAAGGCGTGTGCTACCATGCCCGGCGGCACTACCATTTTAATATCAACACAAATGTGTCAACTAAGAGAAAAGGATTCCAGTTGGTAACCAACACAGAAAAGCAGGGATCTTAGAGTCCAATGCACATTCTGTGCACAGAAGAGCAGGATTTATTTTGGTCATTTACCAGCTAAACAATGAGGATTTGGGAGCTGTTTGCTCATCTGAAAACTATTACTGCTGACTTTCAGGACTGGTTTAAATGTTACACAGAACACACAGAAGGCTTTTGACACAGGACCAGCCCTTGGCAGACATTCAGGCCACAGTAAAAGCCACTCTAGTATTTCCAGACATAAGAATTAAAAAACAAAAACAAAAGAAACTTACCAATAAGAAACAGGAAGAACTCCTAGCTGTGCTTGGTATAAGCAGATCAGAGTGTTCTGAGGTAAGATACAAATCACTTTTAAAAAATCTAAAGATAATTTAAAAATTATCTGGGCAAAACTACCTCAGCACTGTGTGCTACTTTAAAAGGGAAACCCCAGCTTTTTGTACGTGGGTATGTAATTTGTTTGTGTGTTTGTTTGAGACAGGGTCTCACTCTGCACCCTGGGCTGGCCTGGAACTCACTATGTAGCCCACAGTGGGTTTGAACTCATGGTGGGTTTGAGCTTCCTGCCTCAGTCTCCCACCCAATTTATGTGCATTTTTTTCAAACGAATTTCCCCTGGTTCTTGCTGCTTTGCAGCATGGTAGTGTCTCTCTGAGGGCACACTGTATTCACATGCACCTGGGCCTAGGGGACAAATGTAAGACCTCTGTCACCACAAAAATGGTTACTTAAGTCACTTTTGAATGTCTGGGAGCCAGTTAGACAGTGTGAACAAATGGACTGGGGTATAGCACAGCGGCCGAGCACTTGCTTAGCAACATGCTAGCTCCTGGGTTTAAACTTCAGCACCACACATACATAGAAAGAATCATGGAACTGGCCCGGTATGGTGGCACACACCATTAATCCCAGCACTCAGGAAGCAGAGGCAGATGGATCACTGGGAGTTCGAGGCCAGCCTGGTCTATATAATGAGCTCCACGTCATCCAGGGCTACCTCGTGAGATCTTCTCCAAAAATTATGGAATTATGAATAGTAATAAAAACAAGTATCTAGAGCAAGAAATTGGTGATCCAGACTATAAGTTCAGTGTAAACAAAGGGACATGCCATCGAGGAGCCATAAGACTTCCTACCTTTCATTCTGCAAAAATCATTACTCCCACAAGTCATGAGAGAAGCTGCTGCATTCCCCAGGTGTGCATGCAACCTGCTCTGTGTTCCCCAGGTGTGCATGCAGCCTGCTCTGCGTTCCCCAGGTGTGCATGCAGCCTGCTCTGCGTTCCCCAGGTGTGCATGCAGCCTGCTCTGCGTTCCCCAGGTGTGCATGCAGCCTGCTCTGCGTTCCCCAGGTGTGCATGCAGCCTGCTCTGTGTTCCCCAGGGGTTCGTGCAGCCTGCTCTTCCAGCTTTGGTTACAGTATGCACCAGTAAAACCAAGACACACCAGTTCCAGAACATCCACAACTGCCTCCCATCTGGTACTGCAAGGAAGCTTCTATTCGCCCCCAAGACCTGAAGCGGAGAGCAAGAAACAGATGCAGGAGACATCAGAAAGCTACTGTTACCGTCATAATTCTCCAAGGCCCAGACCCGGTGGCCAAGATGGAGGCCAAGATGGAGGTGCCTCAGCACCAGCTGTACAGTGGAATGAGAACCCTTGAGGGGGTCTGTTTCCAGGCTTTGCTCATGCTACTCCGCCCTCTGTCCTGTCTAGGTGCCCTTCTTCCTCCAGGACACCTGGATTTGTGTCCCTTCCAACATTTCTCTGAAGATTCTTGACTCTTCCCTAGCACACCCAGCAGATTTCCCTGGTCCTACATCAGAGGCCCCAGAGCACTCTTTGGAAGCCTTCTTACGAACTCGGGTGTTTGACAGCTTCTCATCCAAAGGCCTGCTGCTGCCACAAGTCCACTAGTCCTGAAAAGCAGAGACCTTGGCTCATGCATGCTCACCCGGCATGTGGTAGGTATTTAGTGTGTGTGGAGGGTGGGTAGATGGACCAACAGGAAGATGAAGAGGCGATAGGACACAGTAACCCAAAGCAGGAGGAGTTCTGAGGGACAGAAAACAGGCTTACTCTGCCCACAACAAGGAAAGGGCAGAATTGAGAAGAAGGCTACGGTCACAGCTGCTTTGAGGTCCTGATGTCAAGTGACAGTGGCATCTAAAAGCCTACAGGAAGCATTTCCCAGGGAAGCCAAGAGCTCATAGTTCATCCTCATCACATCTCTGTACAGCTCCTTCTGCCGCTTGTCCAGCAGGCCCCACTCCTCGCCGGTGAAGTACACTGCCACATCCTCAAACACTGCAGGGAGCTCCCCAAACACCCGCGAATCTTCCAGCTGCCTCTCGTCAGGAGGTTCCTGTAACATAAATCAGTACCACCCAGCTCACCTCTGGAGTTAAGACACCATTTTACTTCTGTGGCTGTCTGGAAGCCTTTCTCCTGGGAAGCACCTAGATGTCTCGGTGCGTGCTGAGGAATGGATCCTCCACTGAAAGTCAAAGAATCAAATGCACGAGGCCCAGAATTAGTAAGTAAACCAAACGGGCTCAGTCGGATCCAAGGATCTTCAGGGAAGATATAAAACTCCACAGAGCTGCACTGTCATCTGGAGTCCCAGGATGACCCTGTACTTGGGTGACTGCAGTGGGGACCTCCTGCCTCCAGAAGCACCTGCCAGGATCTCCCAGGAGGACATGAAGGAAGGAGCAGCTGAAAAGAACTGAAGACCCTTAGAATCAGAAGTCAGCTCACACACGCCTCAGTGACCCTGTACTTGGGTGACTGCAGTGGGGACCTCCTGCCTCTAGAAGCACCTGCTAGGATCTCCCAGAAGGACATGAAGGAAGGAGCCCTGAAAAGAACTGAAGACCCTTAGAATCAGAAGTCAGCTCACACACGCCTCACCACTAAAAGACTGAGGCTGGAACTCACTATGCAGATGAGCTGGCCTTGAACTCACAGAGATCTGCCTGCCTCAGCCTCCTGAGTGTTTATTACCTTCTAATACTAAAAATTGACAAGAAGAGGGCATGAAAAGAAACTCTTGTTTCTCTGAATTCTGGAAAGCTCAAGCTTACTACCTTGTGCAGCCTCCTTAGGATAGTCACCATGAGGAACATCTGAGCTATTCACTGACCTCCCAAAGAGGCACAAATAGGATTTCTTGTAAAACTCTCCTTGCTTGCAATAGTTGAGAACTGGGGAAAGTTCTAGTGACTCAAAGATTCCAATGGACAGTTTCCTTAGCTTACCAACTTTCCAGAAACTTAGGAAATTGAAAAATAAACTTAAGGTGAGCACTAAGAGCTTAATGGGACCAGCAGAGTGGTAGGGAATGGAGGGAAAGCACCAGGCTGGTGGCCAGGGCTCTGGACAGAGGCCAGCACCAGTCCACAACAGTTGTGGACTCTGGACTCCAGGAAGTTCACTCCTTCTGAGTCTCAGTTTTCTCCCAACGTGGTGATTTAGTAGCTCTCACCCTCATAGCAACACTAGACACAGCACAGCACTGGCTATACATGTGAAAAACTTTCATTGTTAAAAAGTGCCACATGACTCCCAAAGCTAAAGCCATTTTTTTTTTTTTTTCGTCTTTTGGAGACAGGGTCTCCCTGTAACTCCAGCTGTCCTAGAACTCACTAGGCAGACCAGGCTGGTCTCAAACTCACAGAGACCCACCTGCCTCTGCCTCCTAAAGTGCTGGGATTAAAGGCATGCGCCACCACACCCAGCTTAAAGTCAAAAATTGTTAAACACTGATTATTAACATGGTCTGTGCTGAGTTTGCGATGGTGGATCATTTCTTGAGTTCTGTGGCTGTTTTGAATTCTGGATAATGACTATTCTTCCTTATGTCAGAAGTTAGGTTGATCTGTCCCATGAATTATGCTTTGCTGTCTACAAAAAAGCAGAAGACAATCAGGTGGGACAATATCTGCAAACGTGCAGTAACACCCACTGTGTTGAAAGCGTGTGAGCTTTCAACTCACATGGTAACACTACCACGTGAGTGCTAAGCACTGCTATGATGCCTTTCTGTTTTTGCACTCATTCTGCAATATAGGTTATAGTGGAGAGCTACCACAATTCAGCAGTGCCTGAACAAACACAGCCTTGCTCCTGGCATCGGTAAAAACCAAGAGTGAGCCCAATCCGTTCTCAGAACGTGTTCCTTCTGAGTTCTCATAGAACTGTTTCCCCTAAAAAAGAACTTTCTGTTTAATGAAACAGCACATCCAGTAAGAGGAACATGTCTTATCAGAGAAGAATTTTCCCTTTCTGACCCTTACTGACCCAGAACAGCACATGCAACCACAAACAGATGTTATCAATATAATCCCACCCGTTGCTTGCAACATACACTGGGGATACTTCATTGCTTCCAATGATATTTGCTGCTTTCAGCACTGACACACACACACACACACACACACACACGCACACACACACACACACACATGCACACACACACACACAAACACATTATTCTGGGTCAGGGACAAGGAAGAGTCATAGGAATTAAAGTTGTATGTTCAGTTTATAAGAGGAGCCCAAGGACTATTAAGATTGTTTACACCATAAACAGAGTGTTAAGCAATCTCAAAATGTCAGATTAACTTTGTTTACAAGGTTAGGTAAGATTCCCATTTTTAACAGGGAGCACTCTCAGAAAAGCCATTCCCACAATACATCACTTTCAGTATGTACCCGTTCTTTTTAAGATACAGAAATCACTACAAACACATTACCTGGCTGCAGAATTCAAGAGTGTCCTGGCATAGCATGCTGTTGCCTGAGTGACCGAGGATGTCACCAGCACGTCCTGTTTGTCTCAAATCTGACATGCAGTCTAGATACAACGCAGGCACGGCTCTACTCCTCACAGGGTCCTCCAGTTCAGCTCCTGGCGGTGACAGAAGCTTGGCCCCACCATCAAAGTCTCTCAGAGACTCCGGGGGATAGAACATGGGTTAGTGTGCAGTGAAGAGGGGCTCAGGACTGTCTGGGTCCTCTGCAGAACGCTCCCTGATGCTCTGGAGATGGGTTGCCCAGACGAGGTCCCTGGCAGCCAAGGCATTGACACAGGACATGTGGGCTTTGCTCTTGGCATGGTATTTGAGAGTGTCCACCTTGAATGTCCCTGTGTAGCCTTCTATTAATCTTGACCGCTTGTCCCTGACAGATGGGTATTCTTGGCAGGCAGAGCAAAACAGAGCTGTCCGTTCCTCATTCATGATCAACCAGGGAAATTGGGTAAACCATGACTTCTGGATAGACTGAGGCTTTGGGGGTTTCTTGTTTCTTCCCATCCAGTCTCCCTCAACGGTGCCACTCTCTGTACTGCAGCGGGCAAGGCAAACTTTCTTCTGAGGTGGTGGGTACCATCCACTCTCCTTGGCAGGACCCTGCATGTCCATTTCTTCCATGTAACCCACCTGAGCTTTTCCTCAAGAGGAAAGAGACAGATGGAATTTGAAATCCTATGGTCTGACAGCCAGCAAGTCTACAAAAGGTAGGATGCACTCAGTCCAGCATGACACTGCCCTGCTTCCTCTGAAGTATATCAGAGTTGAATTCTTGACTTTCACTCCCCTCAAACTTCCCAGGCCCATCTTGCTTAACCCAGAAGGAAATCAAAGACATGCTTTAAGCAAATCTTGCCTTTCAAAAAAATTTAAAGGGCAGATACACTGAACCAAAAGGACATCTTTGCACTTTGATCAAGGCCACCTGAGGCAGTGGCACCATATCAAGTTCAAAACTCACTTAGGATAAAACACTGAGGGCATGGAACTATACGTTAAGAGATCCTGAAAGCCAGAAAATGCAACTCTTACTCTGTAGGAACCTCTGTCTGGGGTAGGCCTGACAGAGAGGCCTCTGCTTAAATACCATAAGGCAAGGGAGCCAACCATCCCCTGGGGACAGCTACAGTCCCCAGATAGCTTTTGGTAAACTGCAATCTGTCTCCGAGGACAACAGTTCCCACTTGTCTTCAGGAAATGTGCTCCAAGGCCCCCAGTGATGCCTGGGCCCTGAACAGTACCAAACTCTCCATAGGCTATATCCTTTGCTATCTATACATACATGTGATAAATAATTTATAAATTAGGCATAGTACACAAATGACAATAACAAATAACCAAATAGAACAATGCGATAATATTGTAATTAAAGTTATGTGAATGTGATCTCTCCCTTCAAAATAGCTCATTGTACTATATGAAGTGTGGCTGACAGTGGAGGGGGTTGACTGAGACTGTGGAGAGACACTGTGGATTAAGCGGGCTACACACCATGGATAGAGCACTTCTATCTGGTGATGTGGATAGAGCATTCTGGACTCAACGTTCCTCTCTTATACCATGACACTTCAGAGCTGAAAACTCCCAGGACCTCAGGAAGATTTTTCTTCTTCAAGCTAAACTAGAAGTTTCTCTCTTTACCCCTCACAGGAAATGAAACAGACAACTTTAACTCCCTAGAGCTACTTCTCTTTTTTTAAATATTTTATTATTTTTATTTTATGTGGATGAGTGTATTGCTTGCATGTAGGTAGGTACACCCATGTCATGCAGTGCCCACGGAGGTCAGAAGAAGGTGTTGGATTCCCTGGAACTGGAGTTACTGACAGTTGTTAGCTGCCATGTGTGTTCTGAGAATTGAACCTGGGTCTTCTGGAGAGCAGCCAGTGCTCTTAACCGCTGATCCAGTTCTCTAGCCTCTGGAGCCACTTCTTATGCACCGATCTAAGTTTAGATGCTCAGTGGTCAAGGACTCAACATTTGTGTTCCAAGTCAGTAGACCAGTCTATAAAATCAAGCACAAGGCAGTTAACAGTCTGTAGGCCCAAAATGAGGAGCCACGCGAGGAGAGACGAAAGAAAACAAATAGAGCTCTGTGTCTCTTTGCAGTCACAGAAGTCCAGGGATTCTTGTGGTCCATCTGAGAAAACCACAGAAGAAAGCAAACTTTGTGGCTCTGATTCATATAGGATCTTGTTCCCTACCTCCCTCTCTTCATGGTGGGAGGCTCTGGGTTAACTCTGTCATCTGGCCTGGAGAACAGGCAACACAGATGAGATTGGTTCCTATTGTTCCTGCCCTGCTCCCTGTAGTAGGTACCGCCTCTAAGCACAGACCACACTCACCAGGGTGATGGTTCAGACTCCTCTGGCCCTGGATGTTGTCTAGCCATGTCTCATTCCCTTGCCCAAACCCACAGAACAGTTCAGGATTGGCAGGAGTTGGTCCTGAGTTAGAAACAGAGAAAAACAGTGTGAGGGCCTGGTTCCAGGTCAAAGCACTAAGAGTAGGGAAGGGGCTCTGCCTGGGAGTCCTCAGTGTTGTGAGACTGTAGGTGGTTCAGGAAAGTGGCAACCAGGTGGTTTGGAAAGTTAGTTATCTGTGAGAACTGTGCCCCCAAGAGACGAGGGTGTAAAACCAAGGCGGGTACAAGCAAAACTAGAGTAGTAGTAACATGTCAATTCGCACAGAGGCAATCTGATGACTTAACCAAGGAAAGCAGAGCTGGCATGGGGGCTGTGCCACATGGAGGGCTCAATCCTGTCGGTCTGGCTGCTCACCTCCAGAACTGCCACACAGCCCCATTTGTCAAGAGATGCCAGAGATTCACACTTATATGTGGAAACTCCCTGTGGCTCAGTGCTGGCAACTTAAGCATCTTTAAGGAGCCAAACTAAAACACTGAAGGGTAAAACAGCAGAGCACAGTGAACGGAAGAGAGCCAATCTTGGAGCCAAATCTGGTCATGAACTACTGCTTTGCAACTTGAAGCTGCAGGAAATCTGTGGTTTTCAAACATTATTTAGCAGCTATAGAGAAGACCCAGCCCAGCTACAATACCTCCACCCACCAAACACTGAGATCGTAGCTCCCACACTTTCATCCTTCCCTCCTGGAGTAAGAAGGCCATGGGAAACAGTCATTAAATTGCAGTCAACAAACACAAGTTAATTACCCTTCATCCAAAAAGCTCGGGACCATGGGGCGACAGACATAGCTCAGTTGGTAGAGCACTTTCCTAGAATGCACAAGGCCCTAAATTCAACACTGCATAAACTGGGTGTGGCAGCACACACCTGTAATACCACCTCCCAGGGAAATGGAGGCAGGAGGATCAGGAGTTCAAGGTCATTCTTGGCTACACAGGGAATTTGAGGCCAGCCTGAGCTGCAAAAGACTCTAACAGATTTTGGAATTTTTTCAGAGTTCTAAATAATTCCACTTTACTAGTAGAATACCCCAAACCTGAAATATTCCCGAATCTAAAATCTTTGAATGTAGGTGACTGTCTAAAAGTTTCAGACTTTGAAGCATTTCAGATTTTAGATTTGGGGGTTATGGATATTTAGCATATGTGTGCACATACATGTTGAACATAAACACTTCTGTCTTTGGTACAGAAGGGACCACAGTAGTGGAGAAAAGTGAGGTTTACCCATTAAACACACACACACACACATACACACACACACAC